TACATGAGAATAGGAACCATACGCTGGCTTTCGGGCCAATGGGTCTGTAAATGTGACGCGAAATGTAGTCAACTACTGGTGAGCCCTCTGCGTCCGTATTGTCCCGCCGGACAACAAACCCGCGCCATTCGACCGACACCTCGTCGTCGGTGGTGTCCGCCCGACACGACTCACGTCGAGTGTTATTTCCGGCCGACGAGAGGCCCAACGGTAGCGCAAAAAACATGTCTTCAGTATTTTGAGAGTCCATTACTATGTCTAACATATGGGCCACAGACTGTTGGGTACGGCCGGACACCAAAACGAGCTCAGACTGTAGCTGTGGGTGTGGTTGTTGTCCGCACGCACTCACTGTTGTAGTAGTGGTCACATCCGACACCTCATCGTTTCCTATTAACACGTGTTATAAATAATAGATTTAGAAATAATTAATTTTTAATTTTTACCATAAAAATATCATAAATTGTTTAATGATGAGTATTTTCTGTAAATGTAAATTGTCTAAATTACTTTTAATTTTTTTAAAACTACCTACAAGTTACGTTTTAAAAATAATTTTAATTATTTTTTTCATATAATAATAATGTACATTGTTTATAACGTTTAATAAATAGCAATTAATTGCTATAATCTTACCATTATTTAAGTAAATTACGGCCGCAAACGTCACATCAGATAACATATCAATGCTATCCAATGAGTGGTCGGATTCATATGCCTCTGCATTACTGGCCATTGAGTGCGACATTTCATTAAAATTTGTGGCCACTATTGCCTGCAATTGATTAATATTTAATAAATAATAACCTAAACTACCATCACTCTTTTATATTAAGTATACATGTATGTATGTATATTACAAACTAAAATGATGTGGCGCTTTATTAAATTGTGTAAAAAATGTGAATTGCAATATTCACTTTGCGATGACACATATAATGCCGTATTTATTAATTTTTTAAAATTTTGTTTCATTAATTTAACAAAGTTGATAGAAATAGTAGCAATTTAAAAAATCAACAAAAGAAATTGTAAATATTTACAGTGGTAAATTTGTTTTGGCCGTCACAACGTTAAAAACAACGCGACTACAAGTGTGATCTCAACCACACGTCAGGCCAATAGTGAGCGCCGAGACCGACACTCAAACATGGATGCCCTGAGTGACCTATCGCTAACTTTCCCAACTGAATATGTTTGAGTTATGATTCATAACTTATGAATAACATCCCTGTGCTATAAAATTAATAGAAATAAAATTATCATGGTATCTATACAATTATATTTTACACATACCTAACATGTTGTCCATACGTCTCATGAATTCTGGCCGCGAAAATGCCTGTTTAACGACATGCGGGTCACCGACGATCACAACGGGTTTGGGACCGACCCATACCGTCACTACCGGACCGTATATATCGTACAACTGTCTGAATTCCTCATTCCAGTGCCGTTTAATATAGTAAAACACTATTTAATTAAATTTTTAATTAATGTTTTAAATAAGTTTAAAAGTTTAAGATAGTTTATAAATTATAATTACGTAATATATTGCCAATGAATGGCAGAGGCGTAGGACAGGATGGATAGTGGTGTAGATTGGCGTAGAAATATACTATGTCCTGAAAAGTCCACCACTAGCTAATAAAGAATAAATCCATTTATTATTGTTAGTAACAGGGGCAGTTATAAAACATCATGGTTTAGTTAGCAATTAATTAGGGTAAGTATATTTGTGTTAAACATTGTATTATTAACTGATAAATAATTTTCGTGTTTTATGACAAAAATATGTTTATAATTCAATATGACTTTAAATTAATCAAAATTTTCAAAATTTATATCTATAAAACAATATGGAATTTTCTTAATTAATTTATCATAAAGTACTGCATAACTTAAGTTCTCAGCAATTTCACTAGGGCTAACATTACACAAATGAACAATACCTTAATCAATTGTAAATATTATTTTATAAAACTAATATATTCTAACGGAATTAATAATTTTGTTAGTTTATCGGCCAATTATATCAGTATATCAGGCGTACGGTATCTGTGGGTCACTGGACTCCCGGCCAGCACTCGGCCTCTGCCTTACGTTTAGCGCCGATAAACATATCGCAAAAGTCTTGGTAAACGATCTTATCGTTTGAACGCTTAAACAAAATTAATATTTTAATATAATATTTTTAATTAATATTTTTAAAAGCAATAATTAATTCTAATCTGTAAATACTTACGCAATACTGGCCAAGACGTAAAACCGGCTGATAGTTGTATTGTATGTAGTGTAGATTTATACCAATATTTTGCAATTATCATGTAGTATATGATTAGCATGATAATTAGTATTATTAGCAAACATGGTGATAATATAATGTATTTTGTTAATAATTATTTATAATTAAGTAAAAATGTTTATTGAACACAACAAACGCTTAAGTTTATACAATATACTGAATGCAACGCCAGGCCCAGTGATTTTACTCTCAAACAACACACCTGTGCAGGTGTTATACGAGTGCCCTCTACCTTCATCAATAGAAGTGCACAGGTAGATGGGATGCAGTTTTATTAATTTGTTGATGTACCTGATTCTTAAATGATGGCCTTCTTTGTTAATAACCAGACTCGACAACAGTTTAACAATTACCCAGTTTAAAGTTAAAATAATTTACCTAGGTGATAGATTAATGGTAGAGGCAGAGGACGGAGTGAATGGTCTTATTGATCGAGATAGAAATATAATAGACAAAACCTAACCTAGCCAATTGTAAATTTGGTAATGATTTTTAATGAGCAAATATTCTAATTAATAATTAAAGTAAAATATTTATTTTAAATTGGCAGAATGCTAGATTATTGTATTGGTACTTATTAATTTATTAATATTTACTTAATTTTAAAATTCCATAAACTTACATGCTCATAAGATATTCAAATAATGTTATAAAAGTGAAGTAAAAATTGCTGACATTTAACAATATAAGAATTAACAGGAATAAGTATAATTGTAAAATTAACACATTTTACCAAAATAAAAAAATTTTATTTTTTAGCAGTAAATATATTTTTTACTGAAAATTTAAACAAATGTTTAAAAATATAATAAGTTATTGTTAACACAACAATGGGTTTATATAATGAAAATTAGTTTGTTTGTACTAGTAGAATTAGTACATGCATGATACATGCATTTGATCATTTTTAAATACAATTACAGTTTGTAAATACTGGAGGATTTTGGGGCACTTATCACAATCTCATTTAGTTTAGGTTTGTAATAGGTTTTTGAAAGTTTATTTTTAATTAAATTTTAATTAATAAGTTTTACTACATTATTAATATTTATACTAAACTGATGAATCAAATTGTTCAATACACATAATTAGATTATATAATTAAAATTTAACAATAACTACATTAACAAGTTTATAATTTATTCATAAACTACATAAACATTATAATCAATAAGGTATAATTGAACCATCGTAATTAATTAATTTACCAGCGTTGTTCTCAGTAATATTACTTATAACTTTTAATATACAGTCAACACTTTCATCTGGATCCATCTCAGCCCGGGGCCCGGCCATATCAGTGCGCACGTGACCCGGATGTATGGCCGTCACCAGTATATGATCGGCGCTGAGTTCGAGGGCCAGTAGTCTAGTAATCATATTGAGGGCCGCTTTACTCGTACAGTAGGGTATGTTTCGTATCCATTTCGGCCAATTCGGCAATTCATTGATTGAACCCATGGCTGACGATATGTTTACGACAATAGTCTTACGCGTATTCGCCGACAACTTTGTGAAACGCGGTGTTTATGTAAAATAATAATTGTTTTGATCATCTATTTTTAATTAAGACTACTATAGTTAGACAATATAGATTTTAAACTGTAAATTAAATCATATTTAGACTAAATTAACTATGTAATGATGTATTACTCATGATCGTGAAAACTTTTTTAAATATAAAAAATTTTCATTTCAAAAATAAATTCACTGTAAACATTATGTGATTTGTATTATTTTTTCATGAGTGTAGATGCATTACAAATGCATAATTTTATTGTGTGTGTTGACATAGACGGTAAATTCTTGCATAAATTAAAATTATAAATTAAATAGTTTGTTACAAACCTTAAGCAATGGCAACAGGGCTTTGGTAAGCATGAGGGGGGCCACCGAATTCACTTCAAAGTCATTCACCATGGCCACATCATTGATCTTGTTCAGCTTCTGAATAGTACAGACGCCGGCGTTATTGATCAGGGTATCCAACCCGTCGTCACCAACGATGGTCTCCACACGTTTGACAAACGCCGGGTACGAGTCGTAGTTTTTACCCTCCAGTTGTAGGACATGTAAGTTTGAGTGTCGGTCCCGGAGCTCATCCAACGCCGCGTTAGTGGCCTGTCGTGTCGTTGCGATCACACGTGTAGTCGAGTTGTTGTTTACGTTGTGACGGCCAGAGGTGGCCAACAGTTGGCGAACTAACTCCAGACCAATGCCACGATTGGCGCCCGTAATCAATACCGTTTCAAAACTCATTGCTTTTAGAGTATATTAATTTAGGTTAAATTTTTTAATCCTAATTATTGTCTCAATACTTAAGCTATAATATTAATTATATAAGCATTTAATTATTTTATAGTTAAGCAAAATAATGAAAATCATCATAAATTCATAAATTTTATTTTTATTTAGTGGTAGTAATCATTAATAATTAATTAATAATAAATCATCATAGAACATTGTATGCAACGCTATGATGATTTATTAATTAGTGATTACTAGACTAATTCAAAATAAAATTTATTAATCTTAACCATAAAGCTGTTAAACTCTATTACAGTGAAACCTATTACTTGATAATTACTTAATAGTGAAACAAAATAAATTATGATTTAAATATATTTGATCAATTAAATACTCGGTATACAGTATGTTAACTCATGCTTATAATTAGAAGTTACTGTATGTTTAAATAAATGTTAAAAATGATATTTTAAACATTATCAATAATTTTAAAAAATAATGTAAACTAAATAGTGAAATAAAATTTACCTTTATAAAAAGTTTATGTAAACAGATGTAAATGTTAACAAACTAATAATTAATTTGTTCACAACATGAAGTTGCAAATATTTTTAAACCTTTTATTACAATATATTATGTGTTGTAATCGGACGTCACGGTTGATAACCCGCGTCTAAATAAGTAATACTGATTCGGGAAGTCGTGGGCTTAATTGGTAAATATTAATAATTAATTATTACATCAAATAGACTATTAAAATAACAATCTTTATAATTATAATTGCTTATACTATTAACACGTATAATAAGTTAATAATCAACAGGTTATAATTAAAAATTTAAAAATGTCTGTTTGCACATAACTTATAACTTGCATATGATATAAGATATTGGATAAAGTGAGTGTTAAATTTAATTAAATTAATACTATTAAAAATTGCTTTCAAGAGAGAGAGAGAGAGAGAGAGAGAGAGAGAGAGACCAGCTGTAGTTTTTTGTTAATCTTGTTGTCTATTGTAAACACAGTTTGCAAAACAGTTTTTCATTTTTGTAAATAAGTTTGTAAACTGTTTTTAAAACATAAATATTTAATTAATTGTGTTATAAGTGTTATAAATTGCTCTAGTATAATTTATACTGTATAAATCAAAGCTACATTATGTAAAGTGATTGTGGTGAGTTATTAAATTAAATATGTTATTAATTTCATGCTGAATTTTTGACAATTATATTAAATAATGTACCAATATCGTTTTCTAACACATTTTCATCATATTTATAATAACTTGCTAGATTATTTTAAGGTTATTTTGTAAAGGGAGAGATTACTTTTTACTTCTTTCTACTTTGATAAAGATTTTGCTCTGACATAAATCAAATAAATTTGCTCTTGATTAGAAAATTACATTGTTTAAAAATTATTAAACATATTTATTATAATGTGCATAACTTATCATGCTTCTACAAAGTACAAGTCAATTTAAAAATAATACATTATCATGTTTAAATGTTTATATCATTATTTAACCTGTTCAAACTGTTATAAGGTACATTTGTGTGTTAACGTGATAATATCCAATTTGTTTAATCCAGTTTATGTGAATTTTAGATAACACCATGTATAATAATCATAACGTATAATTAGGTAGTAAATGATTACTAATCATAGGATTATTAGATAATTATAATCACATATTATCTGTTAATTTAAAGGTTAGTATGTTTTGTATTTAAATAGTAAACAATTTCTATACAATAATAATAATCTTAAAATATATTTTTGCAATTGAATCATGAATTCATTCATTAATTTAAGTCTAGTTTTAGTTGTCTTATGCGTTAAATACACAGTTTGTATTGATGTCAGCACAACATCTGGTGTAGTGAGGGGTCAGACACTACATGTGCTCAACTCAAGTATTAACCAGTTTTTGGGTATACCTTATGCCGAACCACCCGTCGGTGCGCTCAGGTTCGCCAAACCTGAACCCATCAAAACACCCAAACCGGTAAAATAAAGCCAAGAATACCCAAAATATACCCAAAAAATAACCAAAACATAACTTTTATTTACATGTCATCACAGGATGTGATCGATGGGACAAAAGCCAAGTACTCGTGCGTACAACAGACCAGTCCTATCGGCGCTAATGAGGACAACCAGAGCGAGGACTGTCTGTTTCTGAACGTATGGACACCTAATACGGGTCGCAGCGAAACACCCGGTGCTCTCAAACCGATCATGTTTTGGATACACGGCGGAGGGTTTATCGTTGGGTCCAGTTTTGAGTTCCCGCGCGGCAACGGGTCGGCACTGGCCGTACACGACGTGGTCGTCGTCACCATAAACTACCGGTTGGGCTATTTTGGGTTCGCATACGGCGGCGAGCAGTCGACTGCGCCCGGAAATGTCGGTCTCTGGGATCAGCAGTTGGCACTCAAATGGGTAATCAATTGATTGTATTGTCCTAAACATAATGTCTATACATTGAGACAATTAATATATGACTTAATAACTAATAGGTTAGAGAAAATGCCGAACAGTTTGGCGGAGATAGGGATCAGATCACGATATTTGGCGGCAGCGCCGGCAGTATGTCTGTGTCGGCACACGTCTTATCCCCGCTGACCAAAGGCCTGTTCCGGAGGGCTGTTATGCAAAGCGGCGCTATATTTCACTACAAGGGTAGGGAAGGGGTGAGCAAAACGGATCAGTTGACAGATACTCAGGCGTTGGCCAAACGGTTCAATTGCACGGGCGATGAGTGGGTGCGGTGTCTGCGAGCGGTTCCGGCGAAAGACTTTCTGAAGTACCCGAAAGTGGTTCAGATGCCACTCGAAGGCGACAGTGTTTTACCACTATTAGCCCAAAAGGCATTTACTAGTCATCAGTATAACACCGGTATGTGTTTGTGGCGAATATAGTGATGTGTCATATCTAATTGACCATGATCAAATATTTGTATTTATCTAGATCTGGACATATTGTCCGGCATTGTGCAGAACGAGGGCACTTCATTGGCACAGATGGTGGCGCCGGGCATACAAAACATGACGATAACTGTCCAAAAATTTACTGAATTAGTAAACGCCTCGAAAGCGCTATTTTACGGCCTAAACGAGACAACTATTACCGAGTTTTACGTGAAACACGTCAACCATAGCGACCCCCAGGCTATGAGACAGGCCTACTATGACTACTACGGAGATGTATTGATTAAATGTCCCACATATTTGTTTGCCAAAAAGTACCAAGAGCTCTCGGCGGGCAAAAGTAGTGCTTATTTCTACGAGTTAACATACCAGAGCAAGGGTATAGGTTGGCTGTGCCCGGCCGGCCAGGTATGTCACGGCGCTGAGGGTGAGTTTGTTTTCGGTACACCACTCATAGCACCCGAGGGTTACACACAAAAGGACATTGATTTCAGTGTACGAGTGATGCGATTGTGGACTGATTTTGCTAAATATGGGTATGAGTTGTGATGTTTTTGTTATTTATAAATTATAATGTTTTAGTACTTGTTTATGACTTTTGTATTTTATTTGATCGTGTTTATTTTATATCTTAATTTTGTAGTAATCCCGATAGTGTTTGGCCACAACTTATTGATAAATCAATTGTAAAAGTAATGGATTTAAATCCATCGACAGATAAACACTTATTTATTAACCCATTCAACGATATATGCGATCAGTTTTGGGGTAATTATTTTGGGATCTAATTTAGTTATTTTGATTCATGCAACTTTAATTAATTAGCACAATGTTATTAAATATTATTTATTATTAATCAATTGATATTGTCAATACAAAAACTTGTAATCGTGATATATAATCGTGATATATAATCGTGATAGATAATAAAGTGCATGTATTATTAATTTATTAAAATTAATTAGTAATATCTAATGTAACTATCAAAATTAATTACTATTTTATTATTTAATTTTCCAAATAAATGTTTGCAAATACAGTACAGTATAAAAGATTTTTAACTATCGGAGGATTCGCTTAAATTAATAAATCAACACTTATTTCGGTATTTCATTTAATTAGTATTTAAAGTATAATTAATTTAATTTAAATGTTGTATATTTTCTATAGATATATTCATTTATAATGAATTATACGGTCATATTATTTCAGACATCAAAATAATAATTAATGAATCACTTATTGCATCCCATTAGATGTTTTATTAAAATTTTATTACCATAATTGAATGATCACTTATAATATAAAGTTTGCATGTACTCTAATTCAACAATGTAATAAAAATATTTTAACACAATATAATATAGTGTATATAATTGAAAATAAACTAATTATTAAAAATATCTACTGTCATATTCCCTGTATTTTAAAATAATTTAGCAATCAATTGCATTTGGTAAATTAAAAAATCATAATGTAATTGTTCTGTAATGATTTTAATCATTATAATAAAGAATCCAATCATTTTAAAAACATTCTAATGCAATATTACAATAAATATTGCCAAATAATGACCATGTTATTCATATCATTTACAGACAAAACAACAGTTCATAAAACTAATAAAAATTATAATAACAATTTTAAATAGTTTATTTTATAGTGCAAAAGGGACTTTTCATATTATTTTAACAAGTATAAAGTATAAAGCATAACAGCAAGTTTAAAACATTATTGGAAACTATTGTTTTTCTACTATCAATAAAATAAAGTTTTTCAAAATATATTTGCAGGTATTTTATTCATTGGTAAAAATGAAAACTTCTACTAATTGTAGCTTTAGTTACAAATTACTTATTTTAATAATACGGCCATTGCTTTGGTTTCATCGCATTATTGGTCTAACATTTAACGGTCTATCCATTGATCGCGACTTTAATATACGACAAAATAAATCACTAAAAATCTATGGCTATATTTATTTAACATTTAATATTTTATGCTATATATCCACTTTACTTTACATATTTACACATGATGATACATGGAATATCATGTATGGTTTAAATACACCTTGGTTATTTAGGATATTACATGGAACCATGTTCATATTAATAGCAATCCGACAATGCTCAATTGTTTATACATGTAATTTAAATGTTAATATTGAGATCATTAAGCAATGTTTAAGTAAATCAATAATTAATAAAATAGCTCATTTAATAATAATTGTAATTATATTATGCATGCTTGTCATAATAGCAAATATTGCAATAGCTCTCATAATAATTGTGCTTGTTAAAACACATATAGTTTTTTACTTTATTATATTGCATACCGTATTAATAATAACAACATTATTCTTAAATTCGTGTTTGATCTGGATAATATTAATTATTTTTCAACATAAATTAGATCGTATACACGGTGAATTAACTAATATAGACAATGGTAAATAAAAATCCCTGCAATATTCATAATACAATAAATATTTATTATGTATTTATAAAAAATGTAAATTATAATGATGATTTATTTTAATACATAGGCAGAATAATACAGACTGGTAGAAACGATAACACTGTTATTCAAATTAATACAAATATAACCAGGATACTAAGGTCAAACAGAAAATATTATTTAATTTCATATAACTTGATAAACTTAATTGACAACAAAATATGTATAGTAACAACAACAAAAATAATAACCTCGATATATTATACAATGCTATGCATACATGTTCTATCGTTAACTACAAAATATGATACAATTAAAAATGTCATAAATTCAATTGTTTTAACCATTGGTTTAGAAATACTGGATTTGATTATAACGTGTTTATTAAGCGATAGTTTGGGACAAAAATGTAATAAAATTAGTGATGCGTTGAATGGCGTGAATGTGAGGGATATGTCTATTGCTGAGTACAGGGAATGGCTTACGTTTACGACTGCTGTTAGAAATAGTCATACGTTTGGCTTAACTATCGGAGGAATTTGTGGTAATATTGCTGTTAGAAATAGTCATACGTTTGGCTTAACTATCGGAGGATTCGCTCAAATCAATAAATCAACACTTATTTCGGTATTTCATTCATTGTATTCTGAATTATAAAATATTTAATTAAAACTTTTATTTTTTATACAGATATTCGTATTCATATTAAATTATACGGTTATATTATTTCAGACATCAAAATAATAATTGAGTAATAATTATTCTCTATTATTGATATAATTAATGTATTATTTATAAATTAATTAAACAATTAAAATCTAATTATATGTTTATTTATTGCTTATTTATTTGCTGTTTGCGTGAGTGAGTGAGAGGGAGAGGAAAGGAGAGAGAGAGAGAGAGAGAGAGAGAAAGTAGATATTACTGATTACAACTGATTACTGCTTGGAAGTGGTTTAGAAATTTGAATATAAAACTGGTTTTGAGTAAACAAAGGGTTTATGACATGTGCTAAACATGTGCTCAAAATCTAACATAGTTTACATTCATTTCTACATTTTATTTGTGAACGTATTGTTGATTGTATTTTAAAATGTTTTCAAAATTAATGAGTGTTTCGTTGATTGAAATGAAGAGTAAATTCAATGCAATGAAGAGTTTGTGTGAGATGTGCTCCGGTGATTCCTCAACCTGCTATTGGTGAGGGGGACGCGATTCTAGCCCGAAAACGACCCCGNTTCAATCAATCAAACAATTGATTGCAATTCATGTAAAATCAGTGATAAAATGCTAAACAATTGTCATATCATTACTAAATCTGATGATTATTTTCACTGTTTTTGGCCTAAATGTCAATTCAAGACAACAAGTAAAGGCAATCTCACAAAACATTATTTAATTCATTCATCAATAAAACAATTTAAATGTGATTTTAATAATTGTAATAAAAGTTTTAGACAAAAATCACATTTAATTCAACATAAAAATACAATTCATTCAATAAATTGCAAATCTAATGACTATTTGCACTGTTTTTGGCCTAAATGTCAATTCAAAACAACAACTAGACAACGATTAACTTCACACCAATTAATTCATTCAGAACTAAAACAATTTAAATGTGATTTTGATAATTGCAACAAGATTTTAAAATCAAGTAATGCTTTAAAAAAACATAAAAATAATGTTCATTCAAATGTGAGATTTATTTGTGATTTTAATGCCTGTCATAAGGTTTATACTGACAAATATGGTTTAATTACTCACAAAAAAGTTGTTCATTTGAATGAAAAGAGATATAAATGTAATGATGAAAATTGTGGCAAAAAATTCTACCAAAATGCACATCTCATTGAACACAAACGCATACATTCGGGAGAAAAATCATTTGTTTGTCATTTCAATGATTGTAACAAAAGTTTCAAACAATCGACGGCTTTATTCGCTCACAACAAGAGATGTCATTTAAATATCCGGAAATATAAATGCAATTCAAATGATTGTGAAAAACAATTTTACAATAAATTTCGTTTAACAGAACACATGAATGCAATTCATTTACACATCAAACCATTTAAATGCACTCAAATTGGTTGCAATCAAGCCTTTACTGCTAAACAACTGCTAACTAAACATTTAAAATCTAAACATTAAATATAATTATATTTATTACATTATACCATTAATTCCTATTATATATTATAATTTACTTTAACAAAGTTTTATTATTCAAAATGTATTGTGAAGATAATATCATGTTATGTTATTTTTATGTTATATTTAATGATTAATATTTATGATCACCAATTTTAGAGCAATAATAATAAATTGAAATCAATAAAAAATTGTGTCAAAAAATTCACAACACATCACATTTTAAACCAACAAAAAAGGTTTCATTTGAGAGAGAAATTTGTTTTTATTGAGATAATTGAACATTGAATAAAACATGAATATAAAAGTCCATAAATGTATTCATAGCTGTAATCAACGGTTTCTTACATCGGGTGAATTGCATAAACATGTTATGCAGAGATATATAACAGTAAATTAATACATAAATTAGTTTATTTTCAATAATGCAATGCAATAAAATGTAATAATAATTTTAATTTCTAGATGTTTTCAAATAAAAATGTTACATTTAACTATTTGTGTATAACTTTCATCTCATTTTGTTTTCCATTTTCTTCTCTAAAATCTTGTTTTTCAAAATCATTTTTCCCGACATTTGATTCAAACATATATTTCGAGAGCATATCATATAAAGCACCGAAAGGTAACTCAAACCACAGACTCAGGGGAACCATAACTGCAAAGTTAATTATACTCCAAATTATACCGTAAATTATCGGTATAAGCAACATATTATCATGAGCGTTAACCACAGGCCATATAGTGGCCAAAATACAACCGAGCATAGGGTGTGCCAGATATGAAGTCTGTTGTAATGAGCGTATGGGTCGCCAAAAGGGGGCGCTTAAAATTCGGCTCAACCATGATCCATTTTTTTCCATAAGCAATATAACTGTATAGCCAAATATTACGGTAGTGCCCAACACTACCAGTCCATTCTCCACACTTGTAAACACTCGGAGATCACCGAAATACTGGGTCCCCCTCAGCAATATTACCACGAATGATATACTCATACAAACTAGTAATATGATGGTAATTCTGCGAATGGTTCTGTTTTTGTACATTTTGTTAACGTATTGTTTTTCGATAAAATAGCCCAATAGTAGTCCGTTGACGTACGGCGAGATATAACGGTATATCGTTATATGTATCTCAT